CTCTGTATCATATTTTATAGTGTGCGAGTCTGAGAGAGGGAGGAAGTGGTTCGATAAGTGCATATTCATGTGTTTGTGTTTGTGCGTGTGAAAGAAATGGTAAAGAAAGACGGAAACGGCTTTCATTCAAAAGGACAAAAGTATTGATTACACCAGTCCCAGGATGCTCCATGACGGCTCACACATTCTACTCAGATAAAGTGTAGAAAACATGTTGATTATCCCCAAGGGAGGGATATGGCTGACCAACGCCTCCATCAAACCAACAGCTCTGTCCTCTGTTTACCTGTGTTGTTGAATGCTCATGGACAACCAGAAAATGATAAAGCCTGCCATGAACGAACACACAGGCCATATCCTTTACTCAAGAGCCTCGTTGAGACAAATCCGCTTTCATAGGCTGAAGAATAAAGCAAAAACACGCCTCGCTACAGAAGTCATCGAACAACGTGACATTGTCAAGCGGCTTTTACAGTCAGGATAGTGAATTAATATGTAATATTCTAATTTGAAGCCATCGTTCCAATGGAAGATTAGGTTATTGATTAGACCATTAGAAGGCTTGGCGGTTCCACCTTTACCTGTGATGCCCATCAGGAGAACCTGGGGCCACCTCGCCAAGATCAATCATGCTTCTCTCACAGAGAGCGAGAAAGAGCGAGAGCGGCATTTGTAAAAGTCCTCGCTTCTAGGGATTTAGTGTGTAATGAGTTAGCTTATGAATCCCGGCTGCTTGTCAAGAGAAAGGTCCGCTGAGCCGTCTTACAGGGGCATCCGTGAGATTCCACTTTATTGGAATCCCCACCCCTCAATCTCCCTTAATTTCCCTGCGTAAAGAGACCCTGAGGAGAAATGTTCCCTTCAGGAGGTGGCGAGGGAGCGTAATGGGAGTGATGCGCCAGAAAGCACGGTGCCTATTTTGTGCGTGTCAGTCATGGATTGCAGATTTAGAAAAGCCTCTTAAACTGACACAAAAGCACCGTTTTTCTCCACACAATAAGACCTTCTCATGTTATACAGAGCTATAATAAAAATAAATGGAGACATTATTGCTGTGAGGGTTGTTACAGTAAATTATAACAATCTTCATTTTGGAGCTGGAACGTTTCCTGTTGCAGTCTCTCCCTCTTGGGTTCTGATCGCTGTGTGGAAACTATCAGGCCCCATTCTGGGGAATACATTCCCAGTGATGCACAATAACCAATATTTTTGACATTTGCCTATTACCCTCAGATTTCCTTTAAAGAAATATACTTAAGGCAAATATACAGGGCTTAAACGAATGTGTCAACCCACTATATTCATTTTCAATGTCCAGAAACCCTTCAACTCTCTGAGGCGATGTACCTCGCCTTCTCCCATTTGCAATGTTTCTTTGCATGTATTCATGTCTGGAAAATGGGGTCATCATCAAACTTGAATGATTTGAGACAAAGGGGATTTGAGCTCTGGTCCATAACTTGTCATAGTGAGTAAGGACAGTGTTTTTTGATGGGTTTTTGGACCAGCTTGGATTAATTCTGCAGTGGGCATGTGGAAGAGTGTACATGTCATTTCAGAAACCATAAGCTCCATCAGAGGGGAAAATAGCCACTTCAAAACCAGATTGTATGGAGATTGCATGCAGCTATCCAACAAGTAGATTGGTTTGCGTGCTGGTTTTTGAAATGTCCAGCAGTTGACAGAGTTGGTGCTAATAGGTCTGTCCGTATGCATTGATTAACACATGGGTTCATCAAGGGTCCACAGCCTCACACTCAGAGGGTAACCTTCCATTAATATAGACATCTGAAGGCACACATCACAGACAGCCCTCTCCCGCCCATGGTAGCACAGCATACAGAGGAGTTGATTAGGAATGCCTCGCCTCAGACAAAGGACAGTAAGCTGAGGCTGCTGGTCTAAATTGAATTTCATTAGCGGTGGAACGGCGAGTCCTTTTCAAACTCATTAAAACATCTTCTGATTTCCTATTTAAAAAACGAATTCATCCTCCCATGTCAGTGATGACCACTTTCTTTCCCATTTCTCCACACCTCCATAGGTGGGGACTGAAAAATGAATGGTAGCTTTAATACGTTTGACTCAAGGATTCTGTCAGTGATGTTTCTGGGAAAAAGTATTAAAGAACTGTTGATGTGAGCTGTTCACAGAGTTTTCTTTTTTGGCAGGGAGGCAAAGTTGTACAATTTAATTAAAAAGTGGCGTCACTTTTCTATTTTACACTTGCTTAATGGAATTTGGCCCACCGTTGGTGTACACTAATTGAAAATAATGGAAGACTATAACAGAAAGCAATTGTCTATGATGTTGTAAATCTGTTAGGAAATTTCCTGACTGTGTGTTTTGAAAGTCAGACTTGAATCTTCGGTGTATTACGGCTCTGCATTTCTCTATTGTAAGCAATTTTTATCTCCCGCCAACAATAGATTTAGGGACAGAGGAGCAAAAGCAATCGCAATTTCCTGGCAGAATATCAATTTATTCAAATGTTAGACAAAAAGAAATAATGTGCTGTGCAATCGACGAACAACTCTGTTTATGTACAGTTTATACATTTGTGTATATACAGTTCAAGTTGGAAGTTTACATACACTTAGGTTGGAGTCATTAAAACTATTTTTCAACCACTCCACACAATTCTTGTTAACAAACTATAGTTTTGGCAAGTCGGTTAGGACATCTACTTATCTAGTTATTTTTCCAACAATTTTTTACAGACAGATTGTTTCACTTATAATTCACTGTATCACAATTCCAGTGGGTCAGACGTTTACATACACTAAGTTGACTGTGCCTTTAAACAGCTTGGAAAATTCCAGAAAATGATGTCATGGCTTTAGAAACTTCTGATAGGCTAATTTACATCATTTGAGTCAATTGGAGGTGTACCTGTGGATGTATTTCAAGGCCTACCTTCAAACTCAGTGCCTCTTTGCTTGACATCAGCCAGACTACGGTTTCCAACTGCACATGGGGACAAAGATCGTACTTTTTGGAGAAATGTCCTCTAGTCTGATGAAACAAAAATAGAACTGTTTGGCCATAATGACCATTGTTATGTTTGGAGGAAAAAGGGGGAAGGCTTGCAAGCCGAAGAACACCATCCCAACCGTGAAGCACAGGGGTGGCAGCATCATGCTGTGGGGGTGCTTTGCTGCAGGAGGGACTGGTGCACTTCACAAAATAGATGGCATCATGAGGAAGGAATATTATGTGGATATATTGAAGCAACTTCTCAAGACATCAGTCAGGAAGTTAAAGCTTGGTCGCAAATGGGTCTTCCAAATGGACAAAGACTCCAAGCATACTTCCAAAGTTGTGGAAAATAGCATGGCTTAAGAACAACAAAGATTTTCCCATGATGTCAAGCAAAGAGGCACTGAGTTTGAAGGTAGGCCTTGAAATACATCTACAAGTACACCTCCAATTGACTCAAATTATGTCAATTAGCCTATCAGAAGCTTCTAAAGCCATGACATCATTTTCTGGAATTTTCCAAGCTGTTTAAAGGCACCGTCAACTTAGTGAATTATAAGTGAAACAATCTGTCTGTAAACAATTGTTGGAAAAATTACTTGTGTCATGCACAAAGTAGATGTCCTAATCGACTTGCCAAAACTATAGTTTGTTAACAAGAAATTTGTGGAGTGGTTTAAAAACTAGTTTTAATGACTCCAACCTAAGTGTATGTAAACTTCCGACTTCAACTGCATATATCTATATATGCACACACATTTACAATGCTTTCGGAAAGTATTCAGACCCCTTAACCTTTTCCACATTTTGTTACGTAACAGCCTTATTCTAAAAGGGATTCAATCATTGTTTTTACCCATCAATCTACAAACAATACCCCCTAATAACAAAGTGAAAACAGGTTTTTAGAATTGTTTGCAAATGTATTTAAAAAACAGAAATACCTTATTTACATAACTATTCAGACCCTTTGCTATGAGACTCGAAATTGAGCTCAGCTGCATCCTGTTTCCAATGATCATCCTTGAGATGATTCTACATCTTAATTTGAATCCACCTGTGGTAAATTCAATTGATTGGACATGATTTGGAAAGGCACACACCTGTCTATATAAGGTCCCACTCGAGGCTGTAATCGCTGCCAAAGGTGCTTCAGCAAAGTACTGAGTAAAGGGTCTGAATACTTACGTAAATGTGATATTTCAGTTTTTTATTTTAATCTGTTTTTACTTTGTCATTATAGGGTATTGTGTGTAGATTGATTAGGGAAAAAAACTATTTAATCAACTTTAGAATAAGGCTGTCACATAATAAAATGTGGAAAAAGTCAAGGGGTCTGAATACTTTCCGAATGCACTGTATATAATCTCTTGTCTAAAACAACATATCATGATCACCTCATTAAAATACAGAAATAGACCCCAATCCCTCCCTCACACCCCATTTGTTTGGCAATGTAAAGTTGTAGAAAAGCCTCTTTTCTTCTTTATTTTTTATTTTTTACATTCATTCAAAGATGCGTTGAGTGGTAAAATTCAAGTCAGCATTATCCATCCAGCCATGACTAATATTCCCTTGTGGTATCTGCCTTTAGCCATAGTTCAGAGTTCAGGCAGAAGTTGAAAGACTAGCATTATTATGTCTCTGTTGTAATCCAGTCAAAACAAGATGATTAAGATAAAAGAGAATGCAATAACAAACAGCACTCTACCACCAGTTTAAATTCACATCTTCACTTTTTCATTTCATACACACTTTCTCTCTCTCTCTCTCTCTCTCTCTCTCTCTCTCTCTCTCTCTCTCTGTCTCTGTCTCTGTCTCTCTCTCTCTCTCACTGAGATCCTGAAGACGCACCTGAGCACAGAGTTTTTAGCATTAATGGCATCTGTTACGAAGCATACGCCTCTGAAACACTTTTAATGTAGATCTGATAGGCAGTTTCGGTTGAAAGAAGAAAAAAAACTAACAGAAATGTAGCATGTAACATTTGGGAGGTCATGGGGAGTAGAGCAGAGAGCGTATTACAAATTTGCATGGATGTCCTCGTGTCGCAGCACTTTGTAGGTAATCCAGTAGAAAATGTTGAAGAAGAGGAAGCTCAGAGGGAAGACTGCTCGGGATATCGTGTCGATGCGCTTGGCCCGGTCCACAAAGCGCTTGCGGACCGCCTCGCCATCGTATACGGTGGACACCGGCGGGGCGAAGATTGTGGCCCCCTCCACAGCCGTTCCGTCTTTGGTCTGCAGGCAGTGACCCAGTCCGTAGCCGCGGAAGTAAAACCCACGGCTGTCTCTCACCAGTTCTTCTTCCTGGGGAATGAAGCAAAAAGAAAGCACAGATTGGCTTCTCACTGTCTACTGGCATTAACTCATATTTCTTCACAGTGGGTAATTCTCAGATGCAGGCGTTTGGGGTGTAACGTAGCAAAAGGGCAACAGGGTGAGGGTATTACTTACTCAACTTAAATTGAAAAACACCAAGCATGCCTGGACTTAAAGAGCAACTGCCCCTAAAAAACAACTTCTCATTTAGAAAACAGTTGTTGCATTGATATTAGTCATAACCATTTATTCTACTGTCAAAGTTTACTACAAAGTGTAAATAGGATAATTTTGGTCATAACTCAAACTGAGTTTTGTGAGACATCACATCCTAAATGAAGTTTGGGTTTGTTTCAATCCTGCCCACATGCCAACAGCTTGTCAGCTACACACGACCCAATCGCAGTGGTGGAAAAAGTACGCAATTGTCATACTTGAGTAAAAGTAAAGATACATTAATAGAAAATGGCTCAAGTAAAAGTCAAAGTCACCCAGTAAAATACTACTTGAGTAAAAGTCTAAAAGTATTTGGTTTTAAATATACTTAAGTATCAAAAGTCAAAGTCAAAGTATAACTCATTTCAAATTCCTTATATTGAGCAAACCAGACGGCACCATTTTCCAGTTTTTATTTGTTTAAGGATAGCCAGGTGCACACTCCAACGCTCAGACATAATTTACAATCGAAGCTTTTGTGTTTAGTTAGTCCGCCAGATCAGAGGCAGTAGGGATGACCAGGGATGTTCTCTTGATAAGTGTGTGAATTGGACAATTTTCCTGTCAAAATGTAACAAGTACTTTTGGGTGTCAGGGAAAATGTATGGAGTAAAAAGTACATCATTTTCTTTAGGAATGTAGTGAAGTAAAAGTAAAAGTTGGCAAAAATAGAAATAGTAAAGTAAAGTACAGATACCCCAGAAAACTACTTAAGTAGCACTTTAAAGTATTTTTACTTAAGTACTTTACAACACTGCCCAATCGTAATGCCCGTGGTCAATTTGGGTTGACTTTGGATGTCCCTGTGGGGCTTGTTAGGGACCATTGGTAAATTACAATGTCATTTGTTAAAATAAAATGTCATTAAACAGATACTCTTATCCAGAGTGACTTACAGTTAGTGCACTCATCTTAAGATAGCTAGGTGAGGCAACCACATATTACAGTCGTAGTAAGAAGAGTTTTGACTGGGCTGAGCGGGAGATGAGTGGATGCGAGCTTCGACTGGAAGTCAGTGGAATGTGCGGAGGAGTGGGGTGACATGAGAGAACTTGGGAAGGTTGAACACCAGGTGGGCTGCTGCGTTCTGGATAAATCGCAGGGTTTGATGGCACAAGCGGGGAGCCCAGCCAACAGAGAGTTGCAGTAGTCCAGACGGGAGATGACAAGTGCCTGGATTAGGACCTGTGCCGCTTCCTGTGTGATGTAATGTTGTACTCTACGGATGTTGTAGATCATGAACCTGAGTTGTCAACCGTGATGGAGAGGTCTTGGAGCGGGCAGGCCTTACCCTGAAGGAAGAGGAGGTTTGTCTTGTTGAGGTTAAGCTACATGGGACAATATGTAAAAATTGGCTCCAAATTTCAATGACTAAAAAACCTCAAACCAACTATAAATAGTATAAATTACTATATACAAATATTGAAAGCATTTAATGAGAAAACTAAAAGGTGTGCAACATGAAAATATTGTCTCATTTACATTGTGTAATTTATTGACGGTCCCTAACTAGCCCCGGAGATAGGCTATCCAAAGTCAAACCAATTTGCCACGGTCGCACATCAGCAGGCTGAAGCTAATTGGCAAAATAATTTGGCTAACTCTTCCCACCTGCGAACACACAAAAGAGACATCCACATCAAACCACACCCTGAAACCAACACCTGTTTCAATTCAGTCGTTGCTGCTAGCGTTTCTTAATGAACCAAATCTAAAACGAGGCCAAATCAGGAAGTGCAGTCGGGCATTAAGGGGAGAGCTATTTCCAGTGTTGTGTAATTTTGCCTCGTGTCATGGATGATTTGTGAGAGATGGTGTTTAATCAATCCAGCAGCCTAAGTTCAAGTTTGTTCAATCATCTGTCTTTCCGGAGTCTCTACACAGAGGGAGGGCAGCGGGAGAGGAACAGCATCATTAGCGCGAATGGGACATTTTACCGAAGTAAAAAAATTAACCTCCATTTCTCTTTGTAGGCAAAGGACTTTTTTATCTAAACTTCTGAAATAATAGACCTCTCAAGGTGCCGGTGTGAAAAGTCAGGGTCCCGACAAAAACTCACAATGGGCATTACCAATGATGGATGGCGGGCACTCTTTTTCCATGCAGAGTGAGATGCCATATTCCCTCTCTTTGTGGAGAATATTAATAGACATGTAGCTTAACGTTGACAGTCCTCTCACACCTTGAGAGATGCGCTTTGGCAGGGGAAAGTGGAGATGTGGGATCTAAATTGGGTGATTAGTAGTCTGTGTAAAGGCAGTGAGTGAATTGACCCTCCCGGGTGTGTCCCTTGGCAGGTCTTTGGGACCATCTCATTGCTGCACAGAATTGGCAGAGAATAGTAACATACGGACACCATTTCCTACTTTCCACACCCTTTCCACCATAGCTACTGTGGTAGCTGTACATTGGGTCTACAGTAAGTGTGCATGATACGTCTAGTGGTCTATCTGGAAGCTCTAAACTCTTAAATGGCTTTAGTGAAGGGCAGTTGGCAATATGCCCCCCATTTAAAGCCCAACTTCAGCTCTACTCTAAGTTCCTTTCTTCAATTACGATAATTGGCTTTCCTCTCTGACATGCCTGCCTTGTTCCTTGGCTGTGAGTGAAATTTTAGAAACAAACCGTTTATCTGTTGCCCAATGACAAATTACACCTTCAATAGTTGTAGCTCTTCTTTCACTAAGTTATCTCCTCTACTTCCAGCTAAACTATACAGTGCATCATCTGCTTAGGTCTAATGATGTATTTCGCCAAAGATAATAGGTACTCATCCTCGCTGGCCTGTGTTCATGGCCCCAGTCAGGTAGCTTCGGTACACACTTTGTGATTTGTTGGAGAGCAGTGCTGTTCTCACCACTGTGATCATCACCATGCAGTGTCCTGACTCTGCTGAGCAGGGGCGGACAAGGACCAGAAATCAGCCCAGCCCTGGGCCGGTCCATTTTGGGCCTGTGTCTATTTAGTGGGACAGTAGTCAATTAGCCAAATTATCATTCTGCGTTATGGGCAGTCCGTTTCTGCTGCAGAGTGTAAACTGAGTGTCTGTAGAAATGTTTGTGTTAAAATGGATTGGCATTTCTGTTGGCTTTTACCCAACTGCTAGAAATTCACACCAATGTTTTACATTATCGACTTTGACTTGGGGGGGAAGAGCCAAGGTAGAGCAGCAAGTAGTTGCCAACACTTAGAAATCAAACAGCTACAGTGCCTTCAGAAAGTATTCACACCCCTTGACTTTTTCCACGTTTTGTTGTTACAGCCTGAATTTAAAATGTATTACATTTAGATTTTTGGGGTCACTGGCCTACACACAATACCCCATAATATCAAAATGGAATTATGTTTTTCGATATGTTTGCAAATTAATTCTAAATGAAAAGCTGAAATGTCTTCAGTCAATAAGTATTCAACCCATTTGCTATGGCAAGCCTACAGGAGTAAACATTTACTTAACAAGTCACATAATAAGTTGCATGGACTCACTCCGTGTGCAATAATAGTTTTTAACATTCTTTTTTTATGACTACCTCATTTCTGTACCCCACACATACAATTGTCTGTAAGGTCCCTCAGGCGAGCAGTGAATTTCAACCACAGATTCAACCACAAAGACCAGGGAGGTTTTCCAATGCATCACAAAGAAGGGCACCTATTAGTAGATGCATAAAAAAAACAGACATTGAATATCCCTTTTGATCATGGTGAAGTTATTAATACACTTTGGATGGTTTATCAATAAACCCAGTCACAACAACGATACAGGAGTCCTTCCTAACTCAGTTGCATGTAATCGTTAAGGACTGGGGAATTTTTCAGTATTAAAAAGAAATGGAATGGAGTTAAGCACAGGGAAAATCCTAGAGGAAAATCTGGTTCAGTCTGCTTTCCACCAGACACTGGGAGATTAATTCACTTTTCAGCAAGACAATAATCTAAAACACAAGGCCAAATCTACACTGGAGTTGCTTATCAAGAAGAAAGTGAATGTTCCTGTTACAGTTTTGACTTAAATCTACTTGGATATCTATGGCAAGACCTGAAAATGGTTGTCTAGCAATGATCAACAACCAATTTGACAGAGCTTGAATAATTTTGAAAAGAGTAATGGGCAAATGTTGCACAATCCAGGTGTGGAAAGCTCTTAGAGACTTACCCAGAAAGACTGACAGCTGTAATCGCTGCCAAAGGTGCTTCTAGAAAGTATTGACTCAGGGGTGTGAATACTTATGTAAATGAGACATTTCTGTATTTAATTTTCAGTAAATTTGCTAAAATTAGTTTTCACTATGTCATTGGGTGAGAAAAAAAATCAATTTAATCCATTTTGAATTCAGGCTGTAACACAACAATATGTGTAATAAGTGAAGGGGTATGAATACTTTCTGAAGGCATATTTTTTACTCAACAAAAAAGATCCCCAAGTACTAAGCGATCAACACATGCCAACACCCTCAGAGCAGAGGATGTCCTGAAAAAGAAAAGTGCTTTCTTGAGAAGACAGGGAAGGTGAAACACATCCCCCCCCCCCCCCCCCCCCCCCCACCCCCCCCATTGGAGAGAACACACCTGGAGCCGATGACACAGAAAGATATCAGATGGAAGACATTCGGTTTCGGGGGTCAATGGTGACAACAGATTCAGTTTGAGTGGACAGAGGTGACGGAACATTCACTTTGGGGTCAGAGGTGATACAGGGGTCAGTTTTACCCTGGCACAGGCGCTGCAGTGCTGACTCAGGTTTCCGTGGTAGCTGGTGCTGATAGTGTTGTTGCCAGGCAGGTCGTTTACTTTCCTCAGTGACTCTACACTCCCCGGTTGATTGGCCAAGGCCATGGCCTCCGTAGGGAAAGGAACAATACACAGATTGGAAAAATGTCATTTGAAACCATGCTATTCTCTCTTTTAATACCAATCAGAAATTAGCTGCACGTTGGATTGTGTACTTTTTTTCTCAGCTTTTGTCTATAATACACGGCTACTGAAAGAATTATGTGCTCAGCTGCTGCAAAACTTAATTCCTGAGAAATGCTAATCTGCTTTTTGCTGAGTGCAGGAAATGTTATCTGCTTCATTCCAAATTCAGCAAAAGTACAGTACTTGCTTTGAGCCAAAAATAGATAAAAGATGTGGACATAAAATATATCAAACATGGTGGTGCGGAACTAAAAGGAAAACAAGCTATGCCATTTAGCCTTTAAATCAGAGAAGCACTCAAGGAAAAAGTTAAAAGTACGATACATCATCCACGGCAGTAACCAAGGGAATTACTATAGCTCAGGAGGCTGAGGAAAATATCCTTGAGGAACTAGAGTAAGTTGGCTTTGCAAAAACTGCAATATAACTCATTTTCTTACACAGTAGATATAAAGTAGTTGTATTTCCTGTGTGATGTAAGCTGTAGTGTATACAGTAGACGTACATGGGAGCTTGGGGGTCAGGGTCTGACTGCCCTCTGTTGTTTTTCAAAGCCAAGCTGAAGACCATGGAGGTACAGTAGGTATTGATCAACCCTGGTCAGTCAGTGATGGTAGCTAGGTGTGCTCCACCAGCCCAAGGCCACGCATCAATACCACCCTAGATAGATAATTCAGAAGCCAAATGCCTCGATGGGAGTAATTGCCCTACTGATGTGGAGAGGAGTTACTTCTTGCGCTCATGGAGAACCATTTCACTCCTTTTATTGTATTTGGGTCCAGTAGACAGACCACTAAATCTGTGGGATTTGTCTGCCCTGGACAGTGGGAGCTTTACTACAAGTCTGGGAAAATAGCCCAGCCATTTTGGGCCACCGTTTTCATGCGTTTTTTCAGATTCTGTTGTCTCTGCTCTTGAGAGTCAATTTTCTTTTTCGCTAAAGGGTCTCCCATCTGGTAATTTGCGCTCAGTAGCACCACCGCTCTCCATTCTCTACACGTGGGTACATGGTGGATTGGTTTGTTTGGCTGGATAGTAATACTTCAGATCAGCAATATTCTACTCCTCCTAAGCTCTTGTTCAGCCATAAAACCCCTTATATTACTCTCCCAGAGTTCCAGTGATGCGAGGCTGAAGGACAGGTTTAGCCTGTGTTACCGAGCAGGTTAATGGTGTGACGAGGGGATCAGGGAGCACATGGACATCTGTGCAGGTCAGTGTTCACCATGGAAATGATCTGAGCCTGAAACAAGCTGATCTTTCTCATGTAAAGTGACGGCCAGCTGTAGCGTGTTGCCGTTGTCAGTCTCTGAATATACAGCGGCGCACAATAACAAGGTCTGTAAATCAGTGTGGTAGAAAGTGACAGGTCTGTGTGTGTCCAGTGTGTGTCTGGTGATTTACACTCACTATTCTTTGCCGCCGCCGCTTCTTCCTCAGCCTGATAAACTCCTTGTGTTGCCGCGAGACAAAGTTGACTGCCGCGTACTCGAGCAGCGCGGCGAACACGAACAGCAGGCACACGGCCATCCAGATGTCAATGGCCTTCACGTAGGACACCTTGCGGGGAGGGGCACACAAGGTCACCGGGTCATCAATAGCGAATCAATGGAGGCGTTGGTTGGCATAATTAGGGGGAAATGGCGTAATGACACTGCCCTAAACAGGCAGACTATATTTTAGTCATTTAGCAGACGCTCTTATCCAGAGCGACTTACAGTTAGTGCATACATTTTTTTTATATTTGTCGTACTGGTCCCCTGTGGGAATCAAAACCCACAACCTTGGCGCAGCTCTACCAACTGAGCTACATGGGACTAGTGAGACTAATAAGCCATGTCCTCAGAATGGCCCAACATTTTAATGGGAGTCAATAAGATGCAGGCAGATGCATCAGATGCACATAGACTCATGCATCAGCCATGAGAGAGGTCACAGTAAGACACAGGGAATGTCAACTCTGCTCTGTTCATGAACACGCTAAGGTCAAAACATGTCAAACTCAAGTTTGTAATTCCAGTTCCAGTTCACTCCATAGTAATAGTTTGCCAGCTACCTGTCTAGACATGGCCTAGCTACTGTATCTATCTATATTGGCTTTTCCAGTCTAACGAACCTAGAGGCCTAGCATGTGAGGCAGCAGCTACTTATCCAGTTAAGGTACATTCACATGTGCGTCGTGCCAATCATTGCAGATGCTAGAAGTAATTGGTTATGTACTGGACCATTACATTGCATTCTGTTGATCTGGCAGGTGACAATAACCAGGTGCCAGTCTACTAAAGTGACATCTGAAATAGCCAATCAGCATTGGGAGAGGAGTCATTCGATTAAATAGAAACAATTTGAAACATTCTGATACATACCCACCAATGCTACCAGTTCCTACAAGCTTTGAGTTGACAGTGATGCTTCATGTGAATAGTGTTTACACGCCTTGCAAAATTGCTAGCTCTTACTATACTCGCTATCCATCATCCCACTTACTTGCCTTACTTTTTAACACTACATCCCATGTGTTGGTAGAGCCTTATCTATGCTCACCTTGGGTAGAGAGGCCCGGGACCCAGAGCTCTGGGTGGTCATGGTGAGCACGGTGGTGATGCCCAGGCCCACTCTAGCCGGGGCAGCATCCATGTTGATCCAGAAGGAGACCCAGGACAGGATGACGATGAGCAGGCTAGGGATGTACATCTGGATCAGGTAGTAGCCCATCTGTCTCTCCAGGTGGAACTTAACCTCGATGCAGGTAAATTTACCTGCCACCATAACCGATAGAATTGGCAAGTACTTATGTCAGTCTTTTGGCAAATTCAGTAGAATTTATGTGGTTTAAGTGTGTAGGTTGGAAAAGTTGCCACTGGTCCATGGAGTTCAGATCATATGTTGAGAAGGAAGTTGCTGCCACTCCATTGAGCACTTAATTTGCTTTTTTCTCATGTACATTTATCAATGATTCTGCAGCATCTAGCACTTTTAATCATTCTGCAGAAAGCACCGTCTTTCTCATCAAGTTATGCTCTGAACTCTTTTCTTAAACTTGGATTCAATCCCCGAACCCCAAAGCTCCATATTGCCATTTATGTTCTTTTCAGAAAAACAATGATAACAATGTGCTCTTCCACTGAAGTTCCACCAAGGTCCCACCTGTGTTGTAGTGCTTGGTACAGTAGCCCAAATCCTGCTCATCTTTCAGCACAAACTGTGGGAGCGTAAGATCATCAGCCACCTGCACGGGGTTCTCGACCAACCACTCGAAGATTAGATCATTCATGGTATACCCAACTACAGAGAGAGAAAGAGATAAGATTAGAGTGGGAGAGACACAGGAGGGAGGGTGAAAGAGAAAGAGAGAGCGAGAGAGGGGGGAGAGAAGATGAGAAACTGAGAGAGAGGTACCAAAGGGAAAGATATGGAGAGAGGGATAGAGTTGAGAAAGGGAGAGACAGGGAGGGTTGGAGAGTGAAAGACAGGTGTGAAGGAAAAGAGGGTGGTGGATGGTGAGGGAGAGAGTGAGTGGTGGGGAGTAAACAGGGTGACATCCTTCAGTCCAGCTGCCATTCCCATCTCCCTCCCGCCTGTTTATCATGATAAAAGTCATATGCCAAAGTGGCAGACCGGTGGCTTGAAGGTCGAACATGAAGGGTGAACGTGAGGTGCATGCTTTCCCAACAGCGGGAGCTGATGGCTTAATGGATGCAGGGTTGGCCTTGCATTCGCTTATACGTGTTTACGTCGCCAAAGACCCGCAAAGCCTGTCAGCTGTTTAAGCAAACATACATCACAGTAGACAAAGCAGCCATTAGTGACCACTGAAGACTAGATTGTAATTACTTTGAGCACACACATACAGTGGGGGAAAAAAGTATTTAGTCAGCCACCAATTGTGCAAGTTCTCCCACTTAAAAAGATGAGAGAGGCCTGTAATTTTCATCATAGGTACACGTACACTATGATAGACAAATTGAGATTTTTTTTCTCCAGAAAATCACATTGTAGGATTTTTAATGAATTTATTTGCAAATTATGGTGGAAAATAAGTATTTGGTCACCTACAAACAAGCAAGATTTCTGGCTCTCACAGACCTGTAACTTCTTCTTTAAGAGGCTCCTCTGTCCTCCACTAGTTACCTGTATTAATGGCACCTGTTTGAACTTGTTATCAGTATAAAATACACCTGTCCACAACCTCAAACAGTCACACTCCAAACACCACTATGGCCAAGACCAAAGAGCTGTCAAAGGACACCAGAAACAAAATTGTAGACCTGCACCAGGCTGGGAAGACTGAATCTGCAATAGGTAAGCAGCTTGGTTTGAAGAAATCAACTGTGGGAGCAATTATTAGGAAATGGAAGACATACAAGACCACTGATAATCTCCCTCGATCTGGGGCTCCACGCAAGATCTCACCCCGTGGGGTCAAAATGATCACAAGAACGGTGAGCAAAAATCCCAGAACCACACGGGGGGACCTAGTGAATGACCTGCAGAGAGCTGGGACCAAAGTAACAAAGCCTACCATCAGTAACACACTACGCCGCCAGGGACTCAAATCCTGCAGTGCCAGACGTGTCCCCCTGCTTAAGCCAGTACATGTCCAGGCCCGTCTGAAGTTTGTTAGAGTGCATTTGGATGATCCAGAAGAGGATTGGGAGAATGTCATATGGTCAGATGAAACCAAAATAGAACTTTTTGGTAAAAACTCAACTCGTCGTGTTTGGAGGACAAAGAATTATGAGTTGCATCCATAGAACACCATACCTACTGTGAAGCATGGGGGTGGAAACATCATGCTTTGGGGCTGTTTTTCTGCAAAGGGACCAGGACGACTGATCCGTGTAATGGAAAGAATGAATGGGGCCATGTATCGTGGGAGTTGAAAGTCCGTGTTGCTCAGCGACAGCCCCAAAACATCACTGCTCTAGAGGAGATCTGCATGGAGGAATGGGCCAAAATACCAGCAACAGTGTGTGAAAACCTTGTGAAGACTTACAGAAAACGTTTGACCTGTGTCATTGCCAACAAAGGGTATATAACAAAGTATTGAGAAACTTTTGTTATTGACCAAATACTTATTTTCCACCATAATTTGCAAATAAATTCATAAAAAATCCTACAATGTGATTTTCTGGATTTTTTTCTCATTTTGTCTGTCATAGTTGACGTATACCTCTGATGAAAATTACAGGCCTCTCTCATCTTTTTAAGTGGGAGAACTTGCACAATTGGTGGCTGACTAAATACTTTTTTTCCCCCACTGTACATACAGTTGAAGTCGGAAGTTTACATACACTTAGGTTGGAGTCATTAAAACTAGTTTTTCAACCACTCCATACATTTCTTGTTAACAAACTATAGTTTTGACAAGTCGGTTAGGACATATATTTTGTGCATGACACAAGTAATTTTTCCAACAATTGTTTACAGACAGATTGTTTCACTTATAATTCACTGTATCACAATTCCAGTGGGTCAGAAGTTTACATACACTAAGTTGACTGTGCCTTTAAACAGCTTGGAAAATTCCAAAAAATGATGTCATGGCTTTAGAAGCTTCTGACAGGCTAATTGACATAATTTGAGTCAATTGGAGGTGTACCTGTGGATGTATTTCAAGGCCTACCTTCAAACTCAGTGCCTCTTTGCTTGACATCATGGGAAAATGAAAATAAATCAGCCAAGACCTCAGAAAATTGTTTTTGTAGACCTCCACAAGTCTGGTTCATCCTTGGGAGCAATTTCCAAACGCCTGAAGGTACCACGTTCATCTGTACATACAATAGTACGCAAGTATAAACACCATGGGACCACGCAGCCGTCATACCGCTCAGGAAGGAAATGCGTTCTGTCTCCTAGAGATGAACATACTTTGGTGCGAAAAGTGCAAATCAATCCCAGAACAACAGCAAAGGACCTTGTGAAGATGCTGGAGGAAACAGGTACAAAAGTATCTATATCCACAGTAAAACGAGTCCTATATCGGCATAACCTGAAAGGCCGCTCAGCAAGGAAGAAGCCACTGCTCCAAAACCACCATAAAAAAGCCAGGCTACGGTTTGCAACTGCACATGGGGACAAAGGTCTTACTTTTTGGAGAAATGTCCTCTGGTCTGATGAAACAAAAATAGAATTGTTTGGCCACAATGACCATCGTTATGTTTGGAGGAAAAAGGGGGTATGCTTGCAAGCCGAAGAACACCATCCCAACCGTGAAGCACGGGGGTGGCAGTATCATGCTGTGGGGGTGCTTTGCTGCAGGAGGGACTGGTGCACTTCACAAAATAGATGGCATCATGAGGAAGGAAAATTAAGTGGAAATATTGAAGCAACATCTTAAGACATCAGTCAGGAAGTTAAAGCTTGGTCGCAAATGGGTCTTCCAAATGGACAATGACCCCAAGCATACTTCCAAAGTTGTGGCAAAATGGCTTAAGGACAGCAAAGGCAAGGTATTGGAGTGGCCATCACAAAGCCCTGACCTCAATCCTATAGAAAATGTGTGGGCAGAACTGAAAAAGAATGTGTTCGAGCAAGGAGGCCTACAAACCTGACTCAGTTACACCAGCTCTGTCAGAAGGAATGGTCCAAAATTCACCCAACTTATTGTGGGAAGCTTGTGGAAGGCTACCCAAAACGTTTGACCCAAGTTAAACAATTTAAAGGCAATGCTACCAAATACTAATTGAGTGTATGTAAACTTCTGACCCACTGGGAATGTGATTAAATAAATAAAAGCTGAAATAAATCATTCTCTCTACTATTATTCTGACATTTCACATTCTTAACATAAAGTGGTGATCCTAACTGACCTAAGACAGGGAATTTTTACTAGGATTAAATGTCAGGAATTGTGAAAAACTGAGTTTAAATGTATTTGGCTAAGGTGTATGTAAACGTCCGACTTCAACTGTATGTAGGGCCCCATAAAACGGATTTCAACAATATAAAAAAAAATGTATTGAACTTATTAGTAGGAAATGCATTAATCTGACCAAGTGAATCATAAAACATGAACAAAATGAATCAGTGATTTGTATTTTCAGGCATCTTTCTTAAACGGCACAGGAATGCCTCTGTGCCTAAGTGTGCAGTGCGTGCGTATGTCTACACTTTGTGTAGCTGTTAGCGATGATGCTAATGATAACCTTCTTCTGGTAGAGATGGATAGGCTTTACCAAAAACCTTGTCAATTAAATGTTATCTACAAAGTAGCCTATGCCTACCTTGCAGAATGACATCATGATTATTTACATCAATTCAGTGGCCATTTGTTTTGCAAACTCCTCAATCACATAAGCGCTACAGCAACAACTTGCACAGGGCTGCAGTGGAGCGGGTCGAGAGATTGAAGTTCCTCGGTGTCCAAATCACTAAGAACTTAAAATGTCCACACACACGCGCACAGTTGTGAAGAAGGCGCGACAGCGCCTCTTCCCCCTAAGGAGGTTGAAAAGGTTTGGCATGGGGCCCTCAAATCCTCAAAAAGTTCTACAACTGTACCATTGAGAGCATCGTGACTGGCTGCATCACTGCTTGGTATGGCAATAGCACCGCTCTCAATCGCATGGTGCTACAGAGGGTGGTGCAGACAGCCCAGTACATCAATGGGGCTGAGCTCCCTGCCATCCAGAACCTCTATATCAGGCGGCGTGAAAGGAATTCCTGAACGTTAAAAAGTAGAGTTTCAACCCGGCTTTATAGTTTGCGCAACATTGTAATCTATGTTTGAAACCAACGCATGGCCGTGGCCATGTGAGAAGCGCGGCAATATCTCTCACATAACTAGAATGAGATTAACTTTGTATTTGTATTTATTAAGGATCCCCATTAGCTGCTGCCAAGGCAGCAGCTACTCTTCCTGGGGTCGAGCAATATTAAGACAGTTACAGTGCATTCGGAAAGTATTCAGACTTCAGGGCAGTTAGAGGGACATAAATTAGGTTACTTACATTGTGTCTTCCAAAGCCCCTGGGATAATGTACATTTGCTGAAGCATTATGGCAACTCAGCAACACAATGGTAGGGATTAATTGAGCTGGGTTTGGGTCATTGATAAGTCATTGTCTCAACACAGCCTTATAATGCTGTGAAAGGATCCAGGAACCCAAATGATTTGGGTGGTGGTTTCCAGAAGGTATCAAAATTGCCAATAAATGTTACACCCACAGAGCTGCAATAGTCTCGTAGATAGTTATGGAGGGCTAAAAGTCTGCTGAAACGTTCAATGCCACAATTTAGGGGGGGCACAAGGCCAGATATTATGGGGCGTTTGTTGGTTACAAGCAGAGACCCAATCAGTTCTTTCAAATCCATCTTCAGCTGTTCTGAGCTGCCCTTCATAATGTCATTGAATCCCACATGAACTATGATCGACTCAATTTCCTGATGCAGGTTTAAAATGTTTGGGAGCAGCTTATTGATGTCCTGTACTCATGCTCCTTGATAGCACAAATTATTTGCTCCAGGGACTGAGACATGTCTCACCATTGAACTGCCCAATACAACGGCTGGAGAAGGGGATGGAGATATCCGCTCATTCCTACCCCTCACACAATTCGTTGAACATTTCACAGGCTCACGATCTCTCTTCCTCTCTGCTCTGATAAACATGAGCCTACAACTCTCATCTCTCCAGCGTTGTACTTCATCATTTATTTCCTTATAGAATTGCGTGAGTGGTTCTGAAGGAACTGCAAGCACCCCTAATAAATTGAAATAAAATAGTTATAGAAGTTATGCAATCACTGCTGTCTGTTCAGAAATAAATGAAATCATTCAGAATAGCCTACTACACAATGAGAAGGCCTATAATTTAGCCACAGAGGATCAATAGCTACTTAAAAAATAGCCTTGCTGTGGATTGTAGCCCAATAACAAGGAATAGCCTACAGTCGGGAACGTGCGGCAAATCTGTCAGTGAAAAAACAGCATGCAGACAAACAGGTATTTTGCATAATTTCAAATACAATCGAGGGAAAACACATGTTGGAAAGCAAATGGCTCCTGCTGAAAAGAGAAGACTCTATACTGTAGGCTACCAAAATATTTGATAAACTTCCAAATATTGTTTTAAAAGTAAAACAAGAGAGAGATAGGCTTTTGGCCCGAGCGCATCGGCCATCACCAGCGAGTGAGCTGCGCATCATTGGGTGAGTCAGTGAAACTTGAAAGCATTTTTAGGACTATCATTTCCTCCTCATATTGTTACCTACAATATGTGTCTCCACACACCTAAGCCTAGGGCATTGATGGATTCAAGAAAAGGTCGTTTTTATTGATCTCAGATTCTCAGTTTGTCAGTGTCAAAGTAGCCTGCCATTTCGATCAATTGTGCGGTATTAAAAAAGATTCGGCCAAAGTCTCCAGTCATGTAAAATGACGTAGAATTGCATGAAATGTGTTTATAAAAGGCCAAACATTTTCCGGACCCTAGGCTACTAAAGATGTTCCCCAACTTTTGTAAGTGCCTCTACTCTACTGCTCTATGCCACTACGCAAATGCGATGATATGCATGCAATGCTTTATTATAAAAGTGATTTTTTTTCTCATGCAATCGGTTACCTCAAAACTCCCCAGGTCACCCCCCTCTGGCGCTCACTTTTTGTTACTGCACCTCCCGATTTACAAATTAAGCATTGCATAAGACTGCTAAGTAGCTAACTAAATAGCTAACTAAATGGCTACATGGAGTTGACCTTTTCCATTTTATTCTTATTTTTGCACTGTCTCTATGCACACTCACAGGGCCCTACACACTACGTATACTGATACGCCAACACACATAAAAACACTCACTCCATCATTTGCTCACACACACATAATATGCACATACATTTATACTGACTCTACACACACCCACTCACATACAATCATCAAATACGTTGCTGCTACTCTGTTTATCATATATCCTGATGCCTAGTCACCTTACCCCTATACATACAGTGGGGGAAAAAAAGTATTTAGTCAGTCACCAATTGTGCAAGTTCTCCCACTTAAAAAGATGAGAGAGGCCTGTAATTTTCATCATAGGTACACGTCAACTATGACGGACAGAATGAGAAAAAAATATCCAGAAAATCACATTGTAGGATTTTTAATGAATTTATTTGCAAATTATGGTGGAAAATAAAGTATTTGGTCAATAACAAAAGTTTCTCAATACTTTGTTATATACCCTTTGTTGGCAATGACACAGGTCAAATGTTTTCTGTAAGTCTTCACAAGGTTTTCACACACTGTTGCTGGTATTTTGGCCCATTCCTCCATGCAGATCTCCTCTAGAGCAGTGATGTTTTGGGGCTGTCGCTGGGCAACACGGACTTTCAACTCCCTCCAAAGATTTTCTATGGGGTTGAGATCTGGAGACTGGCTAGGCCACTCCAGGACCTTGAAATGCTTCTTACGAAGCCACTCCTTCGTTGCCCGGGCGGTGTGTTTGGGATCATTGTCATGCTGAAAGACCCAGCCACGTTTCATCTTCAATGCCCTTGCTGATGGAAGGAGGTTTTCACTCAAAATCTCACGATACATGGCCCCATTCATTCTTTCCTTTACACGGATCAGTGGTCCTGGTCCCTTTGCAGAAAAACAGCCCCAAAGCATGATGTTTCCACCCCCATGCTTCACAGTAGGTATGGTGTTCTTTGGATGCAACTCAGCATTCTTTGTCCTCCAAACACGACGAGTTGAGTTTTTACCAAAAAGTTCTATTTTGGTTTCATCTGACCATATGACATTCTCCCAATCCTCTTCTGGATCATCCAAATGCACTCTAGCAAACTTCAGACGGGCCTGGACATGTACTGGCTTAAGCAGGGGGACACGTCTGGCACTGCAGGATTTGAGTCCCTGGATTTTTTTTTCTCAATTTGGCTGTCATAGTTGACGTGTACCTATGAGGAAAATTACAGGCCTCTCTCATCTTTTTAAGTGGGAGAACTTGCACAATTGGTGGCTGACTAAATACTTTTTTTCCCCACTGTATCTACCTCTATCAATCCAGTATCCCTGCACATTGTAAATATGGTACTGGAATTGACCCTGTATATCGTATGCTTACTTACTTTATCATGTTCTTCTTATTTCTTATTTTTATATCTCGTGTGTTTTTTTTCTACCTTGTTATTTTTTATATTACATTGTTATTGATTACTGCATTGTTGAGGTTAGAGCTTGCAAGAAAAGCATTTCACTGTACTTGTGCATGTGACATTAAAACTTGAAACTGAAACTGAAACATTAAAGGGTAACTTCACCCAAAAACATTTTTTTCAAATTTTCCCAGACCTAAAAAATAGTATCCTGATGTGGATTAAACATTGTTGTGGACTTAGAACATCCAATTTTGTTGTTTTTCTATTTTAAAAAGTGTAATTTTGAGAGTGAAAACCTGAAAACCATGGGAAAACAAAACTGAGAAAATTGAATTTGGGAAAAAACCAAACAGAATCAGCCTAAAAATTTAAACTGATTTTATAGGGCCCTACATATGCGTACACACAAATATGCATACACATAATATGCATGGGTACACGCGCACACACACACCTCAACCCTGTCTATCCTCCCACACCTTTTGAAGGCTCTATTTCCCCTCACAGGGGTCTGATTACCGGACCATTAAAAATGCACGGAGCATGCATTAATGCCGTGCAATACTTGACACATCTGAATAATACTACTGATGTCTGTCTGGGCCCTTGGGGCCTCAGTAACAAAGACATAAATTATTCAAGACGTTATCACCTGATCCTTACCAGCAGCCTGAAAACAACATGACCACTAAAATACAATTATCTTGCTCCTGAAGAGTTCTGAGTCATTCACATATCCTTCCCTAACAAGCAAGGAGAATACCAACGTCTTCATAAAGGTGACGAAATGTTATCTTTTCGTTCCCAGTTATACACTAATAGGAGTCAAACATCAAATTAATATATTCAAAGTGTGTGGTCAAAGTGGAATTTATGAGGTGCATTGTCTGGACTGTATTTGACGAGGTGACCTAGCTGAGGATACCAACGTTTTTATGGCCTTGTCCCTGTAAAAAAAACACATTTGAATTGGTCAAGCTTCAGATTTACTGTCTAACTCTGTCCTGTTGATTTACACTTTATACATCTACTTACTGACTTAAGGATACCAAATTGGGTCACGAGAACACATGATGGTTTTAAAGGTTGTTTGAAGTAGGATATAGCTACAGTGCAGACTATTTATATCTACTAGAGCTCAAGGCATCAAGATTAAGGCTGTCAAACAGCATTGGTCTGGACTTCCATCCTCAGAATGATCAGCCCCCGAAGATATCCCTCTCTCTTTTCCCTCGCTCTCACCCTCAATGTGGCAGCGTTGGCAGTTGGCACAGCGCATTATAGTTAAACTTGCAACTGTCCTCGTCATGTCCTCCCCAGGCAGCCAAGGTGATCACACCCTGGGCAGTGTACTAACACTTGTCAAAACAGAGCTGGCTGTCCCCTTTAGTGACACGAAGAGGAGGGCTTCCTTTAATCAAAAAATTATTAGGACTCCTGTAATGGCCCTGTCAGGTAGTAAACTTGCTGGCTGGCATGCTTTCCACTGTTGGCCAAGATTTTTCTCCTCACCTGCTCTCCACACTTTAGGAGGGTAGATTTAATTGCAGACAACAAGAGGACAAGTGGTAAACATTTAGGGGGGAAAGTGATCAAAGTCTTTGCCATCTCTGAAGGTCTGAGAGGAACAGTGGTAGAGTTACTCTGTAGGGCAATGCTGAGAATAGTGAACCTAATAATACATCTGCATGTTGATTCACACAATTATATTTATCAATCTTTTACCATATTTGGCATTGAAATATGGGTATACACTCCAAGCAAGTTCCTAAACATCTTCAATTGAAACAGAGAGGTATAAGGCAATAAACATCCTAACACACAACTTGACTTATCATTAATTTCAAATGCTTGCTGCTGGATCTCCCAGCAAGAAATCTGTTGTCTCCTGAGCCAGTTTTGCTCCCATTTGGTTCTCCTCTTGCTAGTTATTTTGTCTGGCCTGGCAGAGATGGAATTAAGCCACCTCCGGGTGCCAGGGGTGGGTCATATAATAAAAGGGGACACAAAATGAAAGTTTCATTATTGATATCCTCGGAATTGGATTTGTGGATGCTATCAGTGCTTGGGGCAAGGGGTATCAAATTGACTTTTTTTCCCTGTTTACCTTTTATTTAGGTAACAAGGAAGGACATGCTATGCACAGGCTTTATAGACTGGACTTTGTTCTAAAGATATTTGTAATGAAGAGATTCCTACATTTGATACACCACACAGGAATTTCATTACCCTTACACGACATCACTGACAAAGCTAAACTGTAATTTTTTATTGCTGGGTCACTAAATCACACAAGTCGGTGTCAGAAAGTCCATTTTTCATTTTATGTATGCACGAGTAACCGTCATCTGAGGATGTTTGATAAAAGCAGCAACTAAAAACCTAGCCTGTCACATTCAGGCATTGAATATAACCTCAATCAATGTCACTCATATGTGGTTATATTACAAAGGTATGTGGACACCCCTTCAAATTAGTGGATTTGGCTATTTCAGCCGTTGCTGACAGGTGTATAAAATCGAGCACACAGCCATGCAATCTCTATAGACAAACATTGGCAGTAGAATGGCCCATACTGGAGAACTCAGTGACTTTCATAAGATGCCACCTTTCCAACAAGTCAGTTCATCAAATTTCTGCCCTGCTAGAGCTGCCCCAGTCAACTGTAAGTGCTGTTATTGTGAAGTGGAAAGGTCTAGGAGCAACAACGGCTCAGCCACAAAGTGGTAGGCCATACAAACTCACAGAACGGGACTGCCGAGTGCTGAAGCGCGTAGCCCATAAAAATCGACTGTCCTCGGTTGCAACACTCACCACCATGTTCCAAACTGCCTCTGGAAGCAACGTCAGCACAATAACTATTCGTTGGGAGCTTCATGAAGTGGGTTTCCATGGCACCATGCACAATACCAAGTGTCGGCTAGAGTTGTGTAAAGCTTGCCGCCATTTGACTCTGGAGCAGTGGAAACGTGTTCTCTGGAGTGATGAATCACGCTTCAACATCTGGCAGTTCGACGGATGAATCTGGGTTTGGCGAATGCCAGGAGAACACTACCTGCCCCAATGCATAGTGCCAACTATAAAGTTTGGTGGAGGAGGAATAATTGTCTGGGGCTGTTTTTCATGGTTCGGGCCAGGCCCCTTAGTTCCAGTGAAGGGAAATCTCAACGCTACAGCATAAAATGACATTCTAGACAATTCTGTGCTTCCAACTTTCTGGCAACAGTTTGGGGAAGGCCCTTTCCTGTTCCAGCATGATAATTGCCCGACCTCACTAATGCTTGTGGCTGAATGGAAGCAAGTCCCCGCAGCAATGTTCCAACATCTAGTGGAAAACCTTCCCAGAAGAGTGTTAAGGCTGTTATAGCAGCAAAGTGGGGACCAACTCCATATTAATGCCCATGATTTTGGAATGAGATGTTCGATGAGCAGGTGTCCTACATCATTTTGGTCATGTAGTGTATCTCTTATGAATTTCACAACTTAAAACCATAAACTAAAAGCCAGTGTGAAAAAGGGAGTGGAGGAAATGAAAAGGAAAATGAGGAAGAAGGAGACTCACAGCTTTCAAGCTGCATGGTACAGGTCTGAATATCCATGGGGAAATTCTTCAAGTCCATAGGGCAGGACAGGATGAGAGTCAGCCTGAGATAGAACGAGAGAGAGAAAAGAGAGAAGGGCAGCTTTAGGTGAAGGTAAAGGGCAAAGGAGAGCGTGAAAGAAGAGAATTACAACATACAGGGATAAATTAAGACAAAGAGGCAAAGGAATACAGGTAGAATCAGGAATTCCCCAGGGCAGCTATCTAGGCCCCTTATTTTTGTGTGTGAGAGAAATAAAATTATATTAGCATTACTTTAAGGTTCATATAAATTATATGTGTGTACAATCCTGTTACTCTGGTTGTGTAAGTTGTTGTTATAACATATCTCTGTACCTGGTCCACCACGGCTGTGCACCTCCTGTGTTCTTACCCCCACCCTCTGTACTCTGAAACTTGCATGTTCGGATACAAGGTATCTCTGTTCCGAACAAAGTCTCTCCTTATCCTCTATTCTAAGAACAAACAGTTCTTAGTACTCGAAGGAGAACACAGAGAACAGAATATTTAGCTACCTCATCTGGTAGATATCGGTTGGTTCGACACATTGAGACAGTTGTGGTGGAACCAGCCATGAGTAAGCATTTATATGTCCTCTGTTAATCTCTGCATGTCAAAGCTCTCGGCCCAAAACTCAAGAGTGTTGGGTCGACCAGCTTCATTATTGCAGAGCACTCACTCTATTCACTTGTGTGTATGGTGTGACCTGCTCCCTTATTAATACGTTTTGAATAAAGTAATATCCTGATTGGTGATTGACCTTGTCTCTCCTCATTATTGATTAGAATTTCCACGACACATGCCACTGGCCTTGAGTAAAGCCTGTGTGGCTATGTATGTGGATGACTCAACACTATACACGTCAGCTACTACAGTGAGTGAAATCACTGCCACACTTAACAAAGAGCTGCAGTTAGTTTCAGAATGGGTGGCAATAAATAAATTAGTCCTAAATATTTCAAAAACTAAGAACATTGTATTCGGGACAAATCATTCACTAAACCCTAAACCTCAGCTGAATCTTGTAACAAATAATGTGGAAATTTAGCAAGCTGAGGTGACTAAACAAGGCAGGTCCTACAGGCTCTAGTTTTGTCGCACCTGGACTACTGTTACAAAGAGGGACTTCGGAAAATTACAATTGGCTCAGAACAGGGCCGCACGGCTGGCTCTTAAATGTACACGGAGAGCTAACATTAATAATATGCATGTAAATCTCTCATGGCTCAAAGTGGAGGAGAGATTGACATCATCATTACTTGTTTTTGTAAGAAGTTTTGACATGCACACAGCTTGGCCACCCATGCATACCCCACAAGACATGCCACCAAAGGTCTCTTCACAATCCCCATGTCAAGAACAGACTATGGGAGGCGCACAGTACTACATAGAGCCATGGCTACATGGAACTCTATTCCACATCAGGTAACTGATGCAAGCAGTAGAATCGGATTTAAAATACACCTTATGGAACAGCGGGACTGTAAAGAGACACACAGGAATAGACACACACACATGATAAGACATACACTCTACACACACACGTACACATGGATGTTGTATTGAAGTGGCCTGAGGGAACACACTAAATGTATTGGGTAAAGTGTTATGAAATGTAATGCCTTGGCAGCAGCTAAAGAGATCCTTAATAAATACAAATACACATGCAAAGGGCAATAAAGGGACTTCGAAGGTCAGAAATGTGATTTAAAATGTACCTAATGCTTCAACGGTAGCAAAATGTACGGCCTACCCTTAGATAAACTCTTTACTATACATTACGGCATGAATTGTGTGCGTTTTCTCCGGTTATCAAATAAGGCAAATTGCAAAGGATGCCATGAGTTACGGTGCCATTTGGTTACAGGGCTCCGCTGTAATAGCAATCTAATTGGTAGACACATCCTTCCCTTTATTTATTGCGGCACTGATGCTTTGAGCCTTCAAGGAGCCGTGGGGAAGAGAAGGAGCTATTAGAGAGTTTGGGTTTGAAGAGAAGCTGTGTAATTACCTGCTGTAATGTATTGCCCAGAGGAGCGACAAGAGCCACCAGCTCTATGCTACTCGCAGGAGCCTCCATTGCTATTGTGCTGCGATAACGTGCAATTCTAAGCACAAAAATATCGCCCACAAATACACTGATGAATGAGCCTTTCGAAGCTTCTCTGCGTGTGTAATTTATCCTCAGTTTCAGAAAGGTAGCTACGAAAATGCATTTGGACTAGTGTGTGATGATTGCTAGCGGATAAATCCGCCGTTGTAATCAATATGGTATGCTTAACTGCATGTTTTTCAATTCCTTTCATGGGATCATGAATGTTGATGAAGGAGAGATAGATCAAATCACAGCAGTGTATGGGTTTGATTGAGGGTCTAATATATTGGTATCAAAGTTATCATAATGAATAAATCACTAGCTCCCCCTTCGGCCATAGGCAGAATTTTCTTGAATAACTCACTAGCTCCCTCTGTGGCCACAGACCGAACTGTCTCTGCTCACCTGATGCTATACAGTACACTCCCATCTTGGAAGATCCGCAGCAGTTTGTTGTCGGTGGTGACCTCGTGGAAGTTAGCCCCCTTCTCATTAGCGAAGAACAGGTCAGGCTTCCAGATGGCGTCCAACATGGAGGGATCCAGGTCCAAGGAGTTATCTGGGTACTCCTGGTAAGCCAATCGGGGATCGTTCCATTTTTGCCGTAGGAACACATTGAGCCTGTAGTCCTGTGTATTGACCAAGAAATTGACTCATTGGCTCTTTCTCAATTAATCTTTTCTCGATTCTTCGCATCCTCTTTCCTCGCCTCCTCCTCAAAACGCATAGGAGAAGATGTCAGAGGGGATGGACTTTGGGCCTTCTCCTCGAATGCCGTTGAGAAGGAGGCGAGGAGATGGGATGTGAGGAATTGCGGAAGATACATCGAGGTTGAGCCATGATACTGTTGCCAGGTTTCAATTATTTAATTAGCATGTTCTGTTAATGATAGTCTGTCTCTGATGTAAAGTGGGAAGTCTGATTAAATTAATAACCTATACAGCTGTTAATTATACCCAAGCCAATGCGACAAAGGGAAGCTTCTTTTCAATTAGTTCTTTGAAAAGTAGAGTGTATTTATACTTTGAAAAGTAGTGTGTATCTTGATAAGACTGATTTGAATTTAGTTGAGGGTTACACTAATGGAATTAGCAGTCATGCAACCACCATTTTCATTTAATTTACATTTTGTCCGTTTGTAAAGGGGGAAATAACAGACCACAACCTAGAACACCTACATGTAACTGCCAGAATAAAGGAAACACCAACATAGTGTTTTAATAACCCCCTACACTCGTGGGAATATGTCTATTTGGATAGGGCTAAATTGAAATATTTCTTACAGAAGAAATATGGAAAGCATAACCAATGAAAAGGGAACAGTTTGGCGATTATGGGAAAATTATTAGACTATAAGGTGAGGACACAACAGTTCACCTGACACAAGACTGAATCCAAACATTACACTGTTGATTTTTATGTGCATTTTACATTTACTGTACTTTTCGCCGCATTTGTTCATAACGAAATCTGAAAATACTCTGGATACTGGGCATCTTTATACATGACCCTAACGGCCCTGCCACACTACAGCCATCGGGCATCCGGCATTGCCATCAGGGACCGCTACCTTTGAAATCAATGAAAGCTGCTATACTGCCCGCGTTGCATCACGTCCAATGGCAGCGTCCAAACTCAAGAATCGTCGAGGTTCAATTCTCAAGGGCTGACACACGCGTTCATTCTACCTCGTGAATGGAAATAATGAGGAAAATGTTTTTCGGTTGGAAGCACTTGCTTTCAATATACTTTGTATCCCTCATTTACTCAAGTGTTTTCTTTATTTTGGCAGTTACCTGTAGTGCTGTTACCTGTAGTACCAGATTCTGGGTTAATCCAAGTATTGTTCAGTGCCTGTCGAAATGACAACAATCAGCTTCATGGGAAGCAAAATGAACAGCTACTTTGAAATTTGGTTCGATTCCACAAAAAGTACACGTCCTCATTTAGTCACAGGAGTTATTCAAGTAAATCATTCTAGTAAATGCTCATGGTAATGAGAGACTCTGTGGCTGTGTTCTTCCCTGGCAGTTTTCAACTGTCTGTCTCCGTTCCCATGAGGTATCACAAATAAATTAAGGACAGCACAACAAACACTGGGCCACAGCGTCCAGTGACATCATTAGTGTCCTCTCTGTCCATGCTGACCTAACATGGGGTCAAGCCCTCTGGGTCCAATAACCTTTAACAGCTCACTGCTACAATCTACTGACCAAGCACTTTCCCCAATTTTTCATTTTAATTGCAGAGTGGACTGTTCATTATCAGAACATCACTGACCCACTGTTCTCTGAAGATTGCTCTGATAGGCTCGAGGAAATAAAGGGAGAGTGGTGAGGGAATTGCTCCAATACTGAGCAGGCCAAAGGTTGGGAATTAACAAGGTATTATATTAACTGGAGAGCTTTCAGATTTCTCTTTTGTAAATTCTGGGATTTAGCTAGTGGAAACCTGCTCAAATATGATCCTTATCAAGGTAATTCATGATTACAGAGCAATGAGACCATAATGATGGTATTTTGTATAATGTGCATGTTCATCCCCCAAAAATATTTAACCTTTATTTTTATAATTTTGTCTTTTTGAGATCAAATCTCTTTTACAAGAGAGACCTGTTCAAGATGGCAGTAGTCGCCAACATATTCAATTATTAGCTTTAAATGATGTATAGTTCTAATTCCAGGATGTTAATTCACTATGGAAATTCAATTCACTCAGTTGACTTTGCTCAGACGTGTCTTCTCACCATAGTCGTTTCCGTGATGGACCCAAAGCTGTTGATGAAAATATTACAGGTGACATTCACAGGCGGACCTGAAAAAAGAACCAAAATAAAATCCATCACTCCTTATATGGAATAATCCTTTCACTGTTTGACCTGCTGTAAAAAGGTTTCATAAAGATTATTTTAAAATCTTTGAATGACACTGTGAGGGTAATTGTATGTGCAGGAAGTGGAGAGTGTCTTGCTGTCAACTCTATGATGTGGAGCAGGTATGAAATATGTATGACACTATTGTAGCTGGGTCCTTGTGGGGAACGACTGTGTTTCTGATTCCAGTGGCTCTCTAGTAGGGAATACTGTGTCTCTCCTGCCTCTTTGCAAGTTGAAATACTAGGCATGAATCACTTCCTTTAACTTTATAACAGAGAACTAAGCTAACAAAAAATGCATCACATTGGTTTATGGAATTCTAAGTTAAGCAACCACATGGTATGCGCAGTTACAAGCTTCCTATCCATTTCTACAGGCAAGTCCTATCTTATATCTTTTTTTTTTTTTTTTTGGTGGCTGTCTGCTTTAATTTAGTGAAGTTTCAGTGTTTTTTTATGGGCACTGTGGCCTACTTCTGAACATACTTTTTGACGTACCTTTGAAGTTGGGTCTGATGCGGGCGTCATAGCCAGACCTTTTCCCCATGAGCTTGTCCAGGAAGTCAGACGGCGACTGCGAGGAGGGGACTGTCCTACTGGAAGGACTTTATCTCCTCCTTACAGGAGCCCAGTCTGAAGAAGAACGAAAACAAAGACAAATAGAGGAGAGAAAGAGAGGGAGAGAGAAGCAAGCGTTAGAAAACAAGAAACTTCAACCGGCATCAGTGGAATACATAGGAAGAGAAAATACAAGGAAAAACAAGGATTTTTTTTGCACAGCCACCCCCGAAAACCCATCTAATTTCACATGATGCTCGGTACATATTGTGTTTAATAGAACCTACCCACTGGGAACACATTGGTTGTTTCAATGTAATTTGTCAACATATTGTGATATGGAATCAACATGGAAAATACATTGGATTTGAAAAAAGTCATCAACCAGTACGGATTTCATCTCATTTCAACCAGATTTGTAAACATTGAAATTAGGGTAAAACTTCAACTTAAATACATGGACTTAACCTGACTAACAGGTTGTTACATTCATCTATACTGAACAAAAATATAAACGCAACATGCAACAATTTCAAATTATGAAATCAGTCAATTGAAATAAATAAATTAGGCCCTAATCTATGGATTTCACATGACTGAGAATACAGATATGCATTGGTCACAGACACCTTAAAAGAAATGGACCTCAGGATCTCGTCACGGTATTTCTGTGCATTCAAATTGCCATCGATAAAATGCAATTGTGTTCGTTGTTTTTAGCTTATGCCTGCCCATACCATAACCCCACCGCCACCATGGGGCACTCTGTTCACAACGTTGACATCAGCAAACCGCTTGCCCACACAACGCCATACACGTGGTCTGCGGTTGTGAGGCCGAATTATTTTTAAAAAACGATGGAGGCGTTTTGGTAGAGAAATGAACATTCAATTCTCTGGCAACAGCTCTGCCAATTGCACGCTCCCTTTAAAACTTGAGACATCTGTGGCATTGTGTTGGTGACAGAACTGCACATTTTAGAGTGGCCTTTTATTGTCCCCAGCACAAGGTGCACCTGTGTAATGATCATGCTTTTTAATCAGCTTCTTGATATGACACACCTGTCAGGTGGATGGATTATCTTGGCAAAGGAGAAATGCTCACTAACAGGGATGGAAACAAATTTGTGCACAACATTTGAGAACATTTCGGGGATCTTTTATTTCAGCTCATGAAACATGGGACCAACACTTTACATATTTTTGTTCAGTGTAATTTCAACATAATCATCAGAACTATGTATATGCTGAAATTGTGTTAAATTCCACACGTAAATATTTTTTGGGCATCCTATATACACTGCTCAAAAAAATAAAGGGAACACTTAAACAACACAATGTACAGTAACTCCAAGTCAATCACACTTCTGTGAAATCAAACTGTCCACTTAGGAAACAACACTGATTGACAATACATTTCACATGCTGTTGTGCAAATGGAATAGACAATAGGTGGAAATTATAGGCAATTAGCAAGACACCTCCAATAAAGGAGTGGTTTTGCAGGTGGTGACCACAGACCACTTCTCAGTTCCTATGCTTCCTGGCTGATGTTTTGGTCACTTTTGAATGCTGGCGGTGCTTTCACTCTAGTGGTAGCATGAGACGGAGTCTACAACCCACACAAGTGGCTCAGGTAGTGCAGCTCATCCAGGATGGCACATCAATGCGAGCTGTGGCAAGAAGGTTTGCTGTGTCTGTCAGCGTAGTGTCCAGAGCATGGAGGCGCTACCAGGAGACAGGCCAGTACATCAGGAGACGTTGAGGAGGCCGTAGGAGGGCAACAACCCAGCAGCAGGACTGCTACCTCCGCCTTTGTGCAAGGAGGAGCAGGAGGAGCACTGCCAGAGCCCTGCAAAATTACCTCCAGCAGGCCTCAAATGTGCATGTGTCTGCTCAGACTCCATGAGGGTGGTATGAGGGTGGTATGAGAGCCCGGCGTCCACAGGTGGGGGTTGTGCTTACAGCCCAACACCGTGCAGGACGTTTGGCATTTGCCAGAGAACACCAAGATTGGCAAATTCGCCACTGGCGCTCTGTGCTCTTCACAGATGAAAGCAGGTTCACACTGAGCACATGTGACAGACGTGACAGAGTCTGGAGACGCCGTGGAGAACGTTCTGCTGCCTGCAACATCTTCCAGCATGACCGGTTTGGCGGTGGGTCAGTCATGGTGTGGGGTGGCATTTCTTTGGGGGGCCGCACAGCCCTCCATGTGCTCGCCAGAGGTAGCCTGACTGCCATTAGGTACCGAGATGAGATCCTCAGACCCCTTGTGAGACCATATGCTGGTGCGGTTGGACCTGGGTTCCTCCTAATGCAACACAATGCTAGACCTCATGTGGCTGGAGTGTGTCAGCAGTTCCTGCAACAGGAAGGCATTGATGCTATGGACCGCCCGTTCCCCAGACCTGAATCCAATTGAGCACATCTGGGACATCATGTCTCGCTCCATCCACCAACGCCACGTTGCACCACAGACTGTCCAGGAGTTGGCGGATGCTTTAGTCCAGGTCTGGGAGGAGATCCCTCAGGAGACCATCCGCCACCTCATCAGGAGCATGCCCAGGCGTTGTAGGGAGGTCATACAGGCACGTGGAGGCCACACACACTACTGAGCCTCATTTTGACTTGTTTTAAGGACATTACATCAAAGTTGGATCAGCCTGTAGTGTGGTTTTCCACTTTAATTTTGAGGGTGACTCCAAATCCAGACCTCCATGGGTTGATAAATTTGATTTCCATTGATTATTTTTGTGTGATTTTGTTGTCAGCACATTCAACTATGTAAAGAAAAAAGTATTTAATAAGATTATTTCATTCATTCAGATCTAAGATGTGTTCTTTTAGTGTTCCCTTTATTTATTTGAGCAGTGTACAATTGGAAGGTTGGAATTATGTTCGATATGGCTGCAGTGGAGCGGGTCGAGAGCTTACATTTCCTTGGTACCCAAATCACTAAGGACATAAAAATACCCACTAACATGCGCACGTTGAAAATGTTTGGCATGGGCCCTCAAATCCTCAAAAAGTTCTACAGCTGCTCCATCGAGAGCATCTTGACTGGCTGTATCACCGCTTGTTATGGTAACTGCACCACCCTCGGTCGCATGGTGCTACTGCTACTCTGTTTATCATATATCCTGATGCCTAGTCACCTTACCCCTATACTGTACATATCTACCTCTATCACTCCAGTATCCCTGCACATTGTAAATGTGGTGTTGGAACTGACCCTGTATATAGCTTCTGACTTTCTCGTGTTCGTATTTTTTATTTTTATTTCTTGTGTTTTTGTTCTATCGTAGGTGTTTTTGTTGTGCTACATTGATATTGATTACTGCATTGTTGAGTTTGGAGCTTGCAAGAAAGGCATTTCACTGTACTTGTGCACGTGACATTAAAACGTGAAACTTGATAGGGTCAAATGCTTCAAGTTCCTCTGCGTGCACATCACCGAGGACCTGAAATGGTCTCGCCACACCGACATTGTGGTGAAGAAGGCGGAACAGCACCTCTACAACCTCAGGCAGCTGAAGAAATTCGGCACCCTCACGAACTTCTACAGATGCACCATTGAGAGCATTCTGTCGGGCTGTATCACCGCCTGGTACGGCAACTTCTCCTGCTCTGCCCTCAACCGCATGGCTCTCCAGAGGGTGGTGCGGGCAGCCCAATGCATTACCGGGGGCACGCTGCCTGCCCTCCAGGACATCTACAGCAACCGGTGTCACAGGAAGGCCAAGAAGATCATTAAGGACCTCAGCCACCCGAGCCACGGACTGTTCACTCGGCTACCGTCCGACAGCCGGAGACAGTACAAGTGCATCAGAGCTAAGAACGAGAGACTACAAAACAGCTTTATTACTAGGCCATCAAACTGTTGAACAGCCATCACTAGCCGTTGACTAGGTGATTCCCACTCACACAAACACACACACAAGCTATCACACACACACCTCATACTCACAAACACTCACACTCACACACACAGTCAACGCTGCTGTCCCATGCTATAGAGACATTGAACCACTGGTCACTTCCCGTTTCACACTGTGCATTTAAATACTGTATCCCCGACATAGCTCACTATAATTTTACATTTACATTTTTAGTCATTTAGCAGACGCTCTTATCCAGAGCGACTTACAGTTAGTGAGTGCATACATTTTTCATACTGGCACCCCGTGGGAAACGAACCCACAACCCTGGCGTTGCAAGCGCCATGCTCTACCAACTGAGCTACAGTTATACATGATGTACATTATATTTTAGTTACACTGTTTATTCACACTGCATATTTATTTCTACACTGGATTATTGACATAGCTTACTCTAATAAATCTATTCCTGTACATATCATTCTTAGCTGATCTTGTATAAATTCTCCCTGTGTACATGTGTATAGATTGCATTTGATTGCTATTTGGGTTGTCAGATTCAACCCGCCATTCTTGATTTCTTGTATTATTTTCTTCTTGCATTTTTGGGTTTGACGTTTTGCTGCATTGTTAGAGGAGTTAACACAGAGGTCCCCGCTGAAAAAGTTTGAATACCACTGCTCTAACCTTTCTTACACAATAACGGTGTATGGGTAAAATCACTTGGGAAGCAAAGCCAGAAAAAAAGCCATATTACAACCTACAGTATGTGTTGTGATAATTGCATTGTTTGCTCTATAACCTGTTAGTTCATATGCCTTGCGACCATGATATATACTGTAGGCCTAAGGCCGAGACAATAAGAAGACACAGTGGCAGAATAAATTCAACCACACCTTTGTTTCATCACAAAACCAGAGAGTAACCTCTGTCCAGGGAAGTCCACAAAGCATATTGCAACCAGTTACATTTTTACATTTTAGTCATTTAGCAGACGCTCTTATCCAGAGTGACTTCCAAGTAGTGAGTGCATACATTTTTCATACTGCCCCCCCGTGGGAAACGAACCCACAACCCTTGCGTTGCAAGCGCCATGCTCTACCAACATGACCAACAGCATTGTTAAGCAAGTTAATGTTTCCAACATTTTTGGACTACTACGGAGAGTTTAGAACCACGGAGAGTTACCGCATGTCTCAAAGAA